ATTGACTAGGTACTTAATTATTAGGTAATATCACTAATATATAAGAATCAGTATGTACAACAATATTAAATAATATTTTTGCTTTTTGCAGATATCTAATACCTACCCGGCGGCAACAAACCCGGCTTCTAACGAATTGTGGAAACCTTTTTTTTCAATCGCGAAACTTTATACATTGACCGGGACGGGCTTTTATAAAAAAAAACAGGCACATCGCTACCATCAGATAGATGAGATAGATGTATATAGGTATACTTCTATCCGCGCTTTCAGTATACCTCGTTGGATTACTCAAAGAGATGATTATGGACCTGTGTGAAAAAATTGCGGCCGTTATGTTGTTTTTTATGTATTTAATTCTATTTCGTTTAAAATGTTTTTGCGGGAATTTAAGTGTAGTTTAATTGAAGTTAATTTTTCTGCTACTATTACTAGGATTACATACCTATAACGTATGGTTCTTATCTATTTTTTCTATTCGGTTTCATCGGCATCCACTACTAAGGTTATTAGCCTCGTATTCTCTGTACGTTTTGTTACTATTTCCCAATGCCGCTTTAGGAACAGAACTATTAATTCGAGAGACGCTAAAATGGTAGTTCCCACCTTATCGAGAGAGGCCCACAAGGGTAAACTCGCAGCATAACAAAAACGAGAAATGATTTAACTTGGAACGAAAGACCGAAAGCCGATAGTAGTATTAGGACGTTGAATTTTTTGGTTTGTGAATCATTGGCATAATTAGGTTAAACAATGTGATGATTTTCACAAGCCTTCATTTTTAAAACCATTCTATATCGCCTTTTGATTAGGGTTTACAAACTTGTTTGAGCAATTTATCCAATAATAATTGGTCCCTTTACCTCTTAAGCCTGCTCATGTAAAATATTTGGGCTCCTTACTTCGCCTATTTATATAATATTAATAAATGGCAGAAGGATGAGTATTGCAACTATGTTAAAAGAAATAAATTGGCTTTCAGTTCAGAATTCAGAATTATGTTCAGTACATGACTGATATGTATTTATAAAATAAAAAAGACAGTACCATCGCATCAGATCTATTAGAAAAAAATTAATATAATTCGCAATATCACAACTATAATACAAGAAACCAATCTAACTTTCATGTACGGCAAGCCATCACTAAAAGTTCCCAAAATACAATTTTTATTAAAGGTTTAAAAAATTTAATAGACTGCCTACAGAAATTAAAAAAAAAAACAACAATAAATGTATTCAAAAGTAACCTCAAACAATACTTGATAAATAAACAGAACGGATATACTTTCTTGTGATAATACACTTTAAACCTGCCATTTTTATATATTTCCTTTAATTTATTATTATTTTACCCCTCATTTTACCCGCATTTATAATAAATTATTTCTGTTTTGAGATCATGTACTTTATTTTAAAAAATTACTTGAAGTTATATTAATACTACTTACTACTTATGTTTAAATTATTAATAGTTTTGCGACGATAGGTTATAGCAACTTATAGCCACAAAACTATGTTTGTGTTAAAGTAGATCCATAGAGAGCAATGTAATTTACAAAGGCCTTCTTTCAACATACAAATAAATGACAACTTTATAATTAAAATAGAGAATGTTTGCAATTTATGGAATGTTAAGAATGTTAGAAATTTTGACGTTAGAAATAATTGGAATTCCTAAAATTGTCACATTAGAAATGCATAGGCGGATTTTAAGAAAATTGATATTAAAGTAGTTAGGATGAACCGAAAATTCTGAAAATCAATAGGGTTCTAAGTTAGAAGTAATTATTCAAGAAAATCAAAACCGCAAGTCAATCAGAACTTTCGTTCTAGAGTTATCGTGCCGGCATACATACACACAGGCGACCAGACGAATTTTCGGATTCAGAATGATCGGAAACATGAAAAAAAAAAATGGGGGCAAGAAAATTTTTTCGTCTGCACGAAAGCAATACTGAGGCCTAATAGGAAGGGCCTCAGTAATTATTAGAACTTAGATCCCAATAGTGAATGGTCCATTGGGAAATTCTGTATACGCATTATATATAATGAATTCTTAATTAATTAGAAAAAAGCCATCATCGACGGGATTCGAACCAGGGACAATTTTAACTAATGAGCCATCCACCCTCCGTTCTTATCTAATATTTGTATTCTTACATTTTAAAATAAATTTTGCAGTTACATTAGGCACCTAAGCAATTAGGTATGTAGGTACTTACAAAATTCGGAACTTAGACCTATTCGACAAGTTTAAAAATTAAATTTTGAAAATGTCAGTTCTTTAAATTATAGACACCTACAGTTTTAATCAGTGGCGGCTCGTGGAGTGGTTCACAGTGACAGAATATAGGTATAAGTACAGATGTATGAAAAAACTTTTAGTGTTTTAGAAAGTTTATAATATACCTTTCTAAAAAAAAAAAAAAAAACAAAAAATAATACAAAAAAAATAAAAAAAAAATAATACAAAAAAAATAATACAAAAAAAATAATACAAAAAAAATAATCAAAAATACATATAATAAAAAAATAGACATTTTTTATAATTAATTACAAACTCAGGTATTTTGATAGCTGTAAGTCAAAATATAATAATAATAATAATAATAATGTAATCATGTAACAATAGTGGATAAAACAATTAAAGAGTTATGGATTACTACAATAGTCTGGCCTTTTGGTTTTATCCAGTGCCATTAAAAAAAAAAAAAATAAAAAAAATAAAACACTGACAGTTTTTTACGTATATCTGTACCGGGATCTATATTCTGCTACTGTGAACCTCCAAAATGTTGGCCACGAGCCGCCCCTGGTTTTAATATCGTTTTTAATTAAATAGGAATGTCATTACAAAAACAGTATTTTTTAAACCTTTTTAATTTTAAATTATTGTAAACACGGACTAAACATTACTTATTATTATTATTATTATTACGTATGATTCTTATCTAATTATTTGTATTTTATTTTTAAATTTTCCTTTTGGGTCATTGGCTAGTTTCAGCTCTTTTCACTCATGAAGAAACTAAATATAGGTACGTACTTGTAGGTATCACTATTCTAAACAAAACATCTTAGTACCCTTGAGCAAATTAATAAAAACGACACAATGAATTTTTTTAAACGACACAATGAATTTTTTTTAAAGAGAATATTTCTCAAATTGTCTCAAATTAAGGCTCAGAGATCTTACACTGTTGCCAAGTCGTACACAAAGTTTACTATGGAATTATTTTGTATGAAAAGTACAGCAATTCATTTATAATAATTTTTCATGTCCTAACAATATTTAATAATAACTATTGACGTTGTTTTGCCCACCCAGCACCCTTAATCACTCCCTTTCCCTTAAAATTGATAAAATTAATGGAAAAAATGTCATACTTTTTTTATTTGCACAGGATATGGAACTTAGGTTTTTTGTTTACTATAGCAATACCTACAAGTAATAGCTTCTTAGTTTTTCTGTAAGCTAAAAGAGCTCAAACTAGTCATTTACCAAATTTTGTAATTACAATAATTAAGTAGGTAGGTACTTACAAAATTCGAAGTAGGTACATAGGTACATATAGGTATAATACAAAAACAGAGTTCTAGTAGGGGTACCTAGGTATATTTTTTGATAATAGTTTAAAAATAGACTCTTGAAAATGTGAGTTCTTCTTTCAATTTTACAGTTATAAATAAATAGGTAAGTAGGGACGTTTATTGCTAATAACAATATTTTTAACCCATATAATAAGCTTTTCAATTTTAAATTATTATTAAAAATTAAATAAAAAAAGTAATTAATCGTAAAATATAAGCGCAGGTACCTTAATATTAGGTATATTATGATAGGTATAGAGGTATGTTTGAATGATTTAAATTGTTAAAATTATTTTCCAGTCACGTTCTGTATGTTATTGAAAAAAACGAACAGAATATAAAAATAAAATAGAGAATTATTGAAGTGATTGTAACCCTAAAATTAAGGGTAAGATTAATTAACCAATAAAAGGAAAAAATCTCAATCATAAATATGAATAAAAATTATTCAAGTATCATATCATAATCATAAACAAACTATTAACAAATGAAAGTTCACTCACCAGTATATATATTCAATATCTAATAATAAGACATGAATAATTAAACAGGAGTACTTATTATTTATAGTTGATAAACAAACTTGTTTTTTAATTAAATAACACTTCACACACACGATTAAACGAAGATTAACGAATCGGCGAGTTATGTACCGTTTGGGGAATCACTACATTTTGTTTATATAAAAAAACACAGGATTTGAATATCAAATAATAAACATAGATATTTACACATATCGACAACACGAAAAGCGCCTGCCCAAATCTCACAGCTGTCTACATTGAGTTTTGAGTTGACGGGTCGAAAACCCGTATACAGAATTTTTACTGGAGTTCCATCTCGTCGTAAGTCTATGAACTAACGCAGAAGCCATTTTCGATCCACTTCTAGTCTTTGAAGTTTCTGCCGCTTAGAATTGTGATTATAAGTGAAATATAAAAAAATTGTCTTAGCTTTTATCTTGTATACAATGGTTAAGTAATAAATTGTGAATATAATATTGTTAGAATTGATTAAAGAAGATCAAATTTGTCCTAATAATTTTTAAAAATTTAGTTTTTAGAATAATAGGTATAGCCCAAGAAAATTAGAAAGAATTTAAGCACCGATTCCACCGTTGTTTAACACAATGGTGGAATCGGTCATAAAGTAAATAAATTATAATTGACTTCTTCTTAGGTACAACTTGAGTATTTTTGTCATTTCTGTTGTATATGCTTGGTCCTTCATCTTCGCATAGCAGCGTTGGATTTGCTCAGGGACTGGAACAGGACAGGAGCGGGGTTTTTAAGCGTGTTGAACTGTCACTAATCGGACTAAACCGAACTCTAAAAGGGTCGTTTCGAGTTAAAAGTGTTAAGGATGACCGATTCCACCGTTGTGTTAAGCGAAGTTTAAAATGACATTTGTACATTAACAATGTCATTTCAATCTCCGTTTAACACAACGGTGGAATCGACCCTTAAACGACTGGGTAGGTATATTAGAATGCTCGGAAAAATTTGTTAAGGACATACAAGATATATTGGTTCTAAATATTCTTTGCCTGAGTAATGGGACTGCGATAAAACATTCTGGATAATAGAAGATATTATTGAAGTACCTCTATAGGACAAGAATTAAAAAGGACAGATCGGAGTTGGTCGAGGGGAGTAAGATGTTTTTAATTAAGACGAATTTTTGAAGCTTTAAAATACATAAATACTGCGATTTTAGTGTCCCTGCACTATCAGATTTCGCCACTGCTGATTTCGCTTGTGTACTTTCCATTGAAAAGTATATATCCCTGGTTAAATGGTCTTACGGACGGAATCCATAAAAAAGAAGATGAGAAGAAGAGACAAGAAATTACATAACCTCATTTTTTAAATAAATTTTATTTTAGAACTTTGCTATTTACAACTTATTACAGTTTGAATAATAATTTATCAAAAATGACTAACATGGTGTTACCAGCAGCCACAAAAGTACATATGTTAATAGGGCAATGTGTCCCCTGCATTAAACAGGGAGCTTCAAAATTCAAAATTAAGAGACTGGAACTGGATTCAAATTTGAATATGGTATTTCTTTATGTTTATTATTTATGAGCATGTATTTTATTTTGTTTAAACAATTTTAAATTGTTTTTAGTTTTTTCCTAAACACGAAGTTGTTTATGCTCATGACCCAGAAAAGATATGCAAAACTGGCGACTATGTTATAATAGAAAAATTACCGGAAAAACTAACTCGTCTTATTACGCATAAGGTTAAAGAAGTCTTGTACCCCTTGGGAGACGTAACAGATCCTATCACCGGAAAAAAAGTAGTTGTTGGTAGTTTTAGAGACCATATAGAAAACGTTAGTAAAGCCTATGGAGAGAAAAAGACAGCCTTTAAATATGAAAAGGCTCCAAAGAGAGGTTGGCAGGAAAACAAGAAAGATTTTACTCATGTGGAGACATACATAAAGTACCATGAAGATGGATCAAATGATCCTACAGCTGTATAGAACAATTTTGAACATACATGTATCGCTCTTTAAATTTAGTTTCGTAGATTTAATAAAAAATTGCTTTATTGTTTAAAATGTATTTGTTTGTCTTTGGTAGAGCTTGCCTGATTTTAGCGAAGGATTTTAAAAATTGTAAATAACATAAAAAGTAAATGGCAAAGTTATGTTCTTTTGATTATTTTCTTTATAATGTCGTTTATCAACAATTTGTCTTAGGCAAGTTCTTTTTATTTCAAGAGGTGATAAGTATATTATGTGAGTTAAAAAAATAGATTCCTTTCTCATATGGGTATTGTTTTGTTGAGTGAAAACCTTTAATATGAGCATTATTATGTGTAACAGGCCTGCACAACATGCGGCCCGCCATTGTCGTTTTCTTGGTCCTTTGTTCATTAACCAGTTTGACCTGCCTATGTCAAACTATATATTTGTCAGTAACAAAATTGCTTTTAGGTATTAATTGCCTTTTTTAGAATCAGAGCAGAACACCTCGACCTGCTTTATAAATTTATAAGCTCAGGACTCTCTTGGCCCTTGTACACTTACGGTTTTTGAACTGGCCCTTTGAAAATCTCAGTTGTGCAGGCCTGATGTATAAGGTGCCTCAAGTTATCATTTACAGGCAATATTTGAAGTAATATAAAAAAATAATTTTCAATTGTATAATGACCTTTTCAAAACTTCATTTACTTTGATGAATAAAGAAGTGAGAGAAGCAGGCCAATGAAACAATTATAAAACAGGGCATTTATACAGGATGTCCTATTAAAAATGTGACACAGAACAACTGAAGATTTAAAATAAGTTGATTAAATAAAATATTCGTTTCCAAAATACAGGGTTAAAGTTGAAAATTTAAAAATTATTAATGGCAAGTTTTTTATTTCTCAGTGTAATTTTACGAAATTAATTTTTGGTGTCATAAATATACCTATCAGCAGAAATCTGTTAAATAAACTTTGCTAGTGGCATACACCTTTATCCCTTCTAAACTTTATGCCACTGTCCAAAAACTTATTTCAATTATTTTTAATTTATTTTTGTTTTTCTTTTTAATAAATCATGTAGGTACTCTTGTGTGGAACTTATACAGTGATTGGTTTACGAGGGATATTCACATTAAGGTGGATACTCTTTAATTTATATTTTGTAATTTTGAATTTTTTTTATAAATTTCCAAATAGGGTACATAATTTATTTAAAAAAATCTGTTAAATAAACTTTGCTAGTGGCATACACCTTTATCCCTTCTAAACTTTATGCCACTGTCCAAAAACTTATTTCAATTATTTTTAATTTATTTTTGTTTTTCTTTTTAATAAATCATGTATAGGTACTCTTGTGTGGAACTTATACAGTGATTGGTTTACGAGGGATATTCACATTAAGGTGGATACTCTTTAATTTATATTTTGTAATTTTGAATTTTTTTTTATAAATTTCCAAATAGGGTACATAATTTATTTAAAAAAATTAAAAATAGCTACAGTTTTTTAGACAATAAAATTTGCAGTGGATGAAGGTGTTACTGAAAAAAGTCCATAAAAGATGTGGAAATATGTGTTAAATTATGACAAAACTTTTTTTTTAATTTTATATATTGGTTATACATTTTTATTTTTGTACAAAAAATGGAGTGTCTTTTGTTTATATGAATAAATGCGTTATTTAAGTATAAAAAAATACCTATAATAAAAATCGAGAAACAATAAAAATCTGAATTTGTCCGAAGTCCCCTAGTAAATTTTAAACATATGTCCGAAGAACCGCGTGTTACTTCGAACAACAAAAATATGAAATTATAAAATAAATCCATATTGGATATCCACAAAATATATTCTGTGGATCTCTGGGATTTCTCGTATTGTCTGGGATGGTTAAAATAACAAACGACTTACCTGTAAGGAAGTTCGTTCTGAATTATAATAATAATAATAAAAAATCTTTATTGGTCCTTTTTGAATACTATACAATGATGTAGGATATGTCAAGATACATGTAGTGGACCAAACACAACTTAAAATCTACATTTAAATATACATACATAATATATATTACGTTACCTAGTAATATTTCTTAATATAATAAAAACATTTTGTTACTAAACATTTTTTTTAATGTTTGTTTAAAGCTGTTAATGGATTTTATGTTTTTAATATCATCTGGCAATTTATTAAATAATTGAATTCCTGCATACTCAGGACTATGTTCATAGAGAGCAGATATACATGCCTAATTGTACGTAACATATTGCCATTACGAGTGGGATAGTTGTGACAATCATTGTTTTTTTTTTTTGTATATAAGATTGTCTTATAAATATATATTGAGGGTAGAGTGAGTATGTGATGTTTAATAAAATGATCCCTGCATGTTTGTCTTGATTCCAGATTGCAGATAAGTCTAATTGCTCTTTTTTGTGCAATAAATACTCATGTAGCAGCAGGATAATTTCCCCAGAGTGTTATATTGTATGATATGTGTGAATATACAATTGCATAATATATATTTGTAGAAGTTGGTTAAATGTAAATATCTGTTTTAATTGAAGCCTCACTTAGTAGATTCAGATTTTTCAACTTGGTGTAATAAAAATTCCTTAATCTTAAATTCTACCGCTATTAACCTTTTTGCAGATGTAATTAATATTTGATTCCCAGCTCAATCACTATCTAGCAGTACCCCCAGAAATTTTGTTTTCTGTGACAAGTAGACATCATTGCAATTTACCTTTACACATATATTATCATAAATTCTATTCCTTGAAAAAAACTAAAGAGCAACTGTTTTATCAGAATTTAAGATTAAGGAATTTTTATTACACCAAGTTGAAAAATCTGAAGCTACTAAGTGAAGCTTCTTCTGCAGCTCATCTGGAGAAGTAGCATGATATGCTAAAGTTGTAACGTCGGCATAGAGTATGGTATAATCTGCAGACACATGCTGGGGAAGATCATTTACATACAACAAAAATATTAGTGGTCCCAAAACTGAGCCTTGTGGCACTCCTCTGGTTATACTTTTCAATTCTGATTTACAGTTACCCACTTTTACACATATTTGACGTGAATCTAAATAAGAACTTAGCCATTTTAAAATTATGCCCCTGAAACCTAATGCATGTAATTTATTTTGAACAATGGATATGTCAATTGTGTCAAAAGCTTTGGACAAGTCAAAGAAGAGTGCACCCACATACTGCCCCTTATCTAGCTGTCGATATATATAGTTGAAAAAAGCAGTAGTTGCACTCTCTGTTGACCTGTCTGGAAGAAAACCATGTTGATGTTCAGTTAAGATATTAATTTTTTTTAGAAAAGATAACATTTGTTGACCTACACATTTCTCAAAAACTTTACATATTATAGTGGGGATTGTAATAGGTCTGTAGTTATCCGCTGACAAGAGACACCCTTCTTTAAAGATTGGTGTCACAAGCCTAATTTTAAGAGCGTTTGGGAAGATTCCGAGTAACAAGGAATTATTGATTATATAAGCTAATGAATTCGCAATGTATGGGGCAATTGTCTTAATAATTTTAGTGGAAATGCAATCAATTCCTTCTGCATTGGTGTTATTATTATATGAGTATACTCGTCCACAAATAGATCCGTAACATCTATTTGGACGAATATATGAAATATAATTCTTGTTAAAAATACAAAATAAAATTGATTAAAAGATTCAAGAAAGACAGAAAACATGAAAGTTATAGTTTAAGAGCTAGGGGACATTTTGAGTAAAGTGTTGATCACAATGGTTAAAAATTTGTAGATTTATAATTTAAAATCAGTTGAATAATGATCTGGCAGGGACACTGCGAAATATTTGAAAATGTTAAAATGAACGTGATTTACAAGGCTAAAACTTTCAGGAAATATTTTTTGAATTATTTTATAAACATAATGACAACTGCCAGACGATTCTGGTGGTTGCTAGTGCCCGCCAGACGGTTCCACCCTCTCTTATCTTCATAATTGAGATATTCAAATGATTTTTTTTTGTTTAATAATTTAGAGAAAGAACTTTATTACAACTGATTCAGTTACTCTGTAACGTCATGGCGTACTTTCGATTTTTCCGGAAATTTAAATTTATCTTTTATTTTTAAAATAAAACCCCAATTTTTTATTGAAAATTCGAATTTATTGTATAAGGTTATCACAAAGTAAGGAATATATTTTAACTAATTATAACTTTTCAACAAATTAAATTAATAACAAAACTAAACGATATTTATAATTGTTTAAAAAATGGGATTTTGTATGCCCAAACCCAGTTAACGTAAATGTTCAATATGGCCTCCATTTTGATCTTGAAAAATCGGCAATCGTTCCTCTAAATTGTACACAGCATTTCGTAACATTTCTGGTTGAATTGCACCAATTTGCTCCACTTCTAAACACTACATTTTTAAATAACCCCACAGCCAGTAGTCCGCTGAGTTAAGATCAGGTGATCTTCATGGCCATGAATTTGTAAAATGTCTGCTTAAAACACGATCTTGAAAAACGTTAGTTAACAATTCTTTAACTGGTCGAAAAATGTGCAGGGTGCTCCATCCTGCATAGAGTTGCCAGATTTACGAAAGTGAAAAGCGTGACGACAGAGCATCAGGTTCAAATACTAAGCATTTTTATATAATAAAGTCCATTAATTGTGAAAATTTCTAAAAAAAGTCCTCGCCTCATATTTTTCGTAAAACGAGGGTCTCCACCTTATATTTTTCGATAAATCCAGTTCCTCTTTTTTATTTACGACTTTGAATATTAAAAACGTGGCTTTTGCATAAAAAAGTGGCATTTTTATAAAAAGCGGGACATTTTCGTACTGTGGTGTTGAGCGTTCAAGCAAGCGAAAAAGCGTGGAAAATACGCCAAAAGCGTGATGTCTGGCAACCCTAATCCTGCAAAAATCATGATTTCATTTCCGTGGTACTCGTTTTGTAGCTGTGGAATAACATATGTTCTTAATATTTGCAAGGATCTTTCACCGTTAACAGTTACACATACGGTTTCTCAATTCTGCATTTCCTTGAAAAAATTCGGACCAATGATAAAATCAGCTGTAAAACCGCATTAAACGGTGACTTTCTTGTCATGAAGACCTTCTTGAACGATTTCTTGTGGATTTTTTGCGGACCAGATTCTACAGTTTTGGGTATTGACTCCACCTATGAGAATTGTCATATAAACGATTTTGTTTTCCATAGAAACAATAAAATCCCATTCCTTAAGCAATTAGATTTCGTTTACTTTTTGTTGTTAGCTTGATTGGTTAAAAAGTTATAATAAGTTAAAGTATATCTCTTACTTTATGATAACCCCATATTATGATACACACAAGCCCGACTACTATTGGTTAGCTCAGTGATCCGGTTTTGAATGCTACCCTACCCTCTAGATCAGCCATACTCAACCTTTTTTTTCCTTCGGGCCACATTCGTATGTTTGCTATGTTACACGGGCCACGGTATTTTTGGATTTCCTCTTTTTTTTTAGGCCATCTGTCTAAAATTAGTGAGGATCTCTAATAAATAAAACACACCTTTTTGTATTTTCAAAACTTCGTTTCATCCTTTCATGCATCCTTCTGGATAAATACTGTACGAGTTTGGCACAGTCTCCCATTGATAAATTAAATCAATTTTTCTGGTGGAATGTATTTTGGATAGCTGAATCTTTCGATACAAGTTGTCTATTATAGTCCGTCAGATAGTGACAGGTTTAGGTACCCCATTTTCCCATACAAGCCTCGAAGAGGGTTGAAAAGTACATCGATTTTAAGTCAAATGAAAGGAAATTTACGAGTGGCTGCTGGGGATAACACATGGAAAATTCG